GGGGGGGGGGGGAAGCAGCTAGTTTTATCAGCAATTTCACAGCTCGACTCTAGAAAAGCTGAAAAAGTTCATAAACCAAACCAAGCTCTCTTTGGCTTCAATGTTGTTTAGACTGTGTAAGGAATGTAGAAAAGAACCAGTAAATATTTTCTTAAAGGAAAAAAAAAAATCCCAGACCTCACGCTGACATTCCCGCAGCCCTCTTGGGAGAGAGGGAGCAGTTGGCCTGTGTTTCATGAAAATTTCCATCACAAACTTGATTTTTGTGTCCTCTATGCCTCTTATCCAAACCCATAAGAATCAGCCATAATTGAAACATTTAACTACACGCAGGGAGCAATACTGAAGGAAACGCATCATCTCATACATTTTTGTCATCACAAGAACACAGTGTCTTGAAGGCTAAAGTGGCCACACAGACAAGTAACAACCCTTAATTATATTTTCTTGGGTTTTGTATGAAAAGGTTATATTTTGTCTATAAAATACAGAAAAAACATTAATTTCTTAACATATTCCAGTGTATTCAGAAATTTCTGTTACTGAGGATCATCACACACACATAAGAAACAAATTGCTGTATTTCTATACACAATGTGCTTCTTAACCCCATAACAACTGGCAGACATCCCTTGAATTGGCCCAGGCACTGCCCTCATGGGCTTTTGTGCATGCAATACAAATTCTGCCATAAAATATAAGAATACAAGCATAGCTTCCCACTTACTGTCAGCTGGCCATTTATTTTTCAAGAAAAAGGCTTGACGTTGCAAATTCAACTGTAGGAAAAGTGAGCGGAAGGTTAGGGTGGGATGGGAAAGTATTTCCCAAGCAAGCGTTGATTCTGGGACGGTTCCCTAAAACTGTAGCATGTACATACAAAAAAAGTTGTGAACTTTGGAGCTGGGCCAAACCCTTGCTTCTCTGCCAGCATAAACCCAGCTTTGCTCCCTGATACAAATACCCCAGCATGTCTCACAAAGCAGCAACACCAAGGAAAGGCAAAGGTGGTTTACCCTGATCTATATGTATTTATTTAATGTTACGTTTGGGTTCAGGCTTGAGACCAGAGACAGGAATAAAATGAAAAGAAACGTAAGGGTGACGAATTGCCTTTTCTACCTGCAGCATTTCTCCTTTGGAGGAGAGGTCACCATGAATGAAAGAAAAAGATGTAAAATGAGCATTAGCTTGCTAATGTGCAGATCAAATGTGTCCATTTGCAAATTAGCCTAGGGAATTCAGGATGTTGATTTTTTATGATCATTTAAGGATCACAAGGGCCATCATCTGATCTTGAGTTCCTTGTGCCCCCACGGACCAGAGCTGAGATTTTGCTATCAGATTCTTCTAAAAACTAATGTTGGAACAGAGAATTTTTGTGGGGTAAAGCCTTGTCCTTAAGTAATCCCATTTCAGCTCATTAAATCAGCAGGAAAAAATAACAAAGAAATAAGAAACAGAAGTAAATAATTTTGTACTAGCTACCTAAACAGAATCAGCCGTCACTCAGGGGTGTGAAGAGAAAGGGAATGTAACCATCACTCACACTGGAACCAAGGACATCCTTTGTGTCACCATTACTGACCAACAGTGCTTCCCAGCTTTTACTGCCACACCAGTAAGTTTAATGTAGATTTAAGACATTGGAAGGGATTTGCCTTCCTCGGCAGCATGAAACATTACAGGCATGCTAAAGGGCTCACCTTAGCCAGACAGGGTGGCCACGCAATGAGGGTCACAACAGCCACCCGCAGTACTGTGGACCTTCTCCTGCCTGTGGCAGAATCCTGCCAAGGGTGACAGGGTTACCCACAGAGCAGTGCCTCTATGAAATGCTGCTCTGTATGTCCCCAAACTTGAAGGTAAATTAGTTATGTTTGATGAGTAAGATTTTTAAAAGTCACATA